GGGGGGGCAGTTAAGACTTGATACTGTGGATCACAGAGGTGGGACCAAGTCATTGTTTTGCAAATATCAAGTAAGTCTCAATTCTTTATCTGCAAGTCCTGAGTCAAGTCTCAAGTAAAGACAGTCAAGTGTCGTCTGAAACTTGAAAATTTCAGGTTCTTTCGAGTCTTTTTTTTTTTAAACAAAGTTGCAATTATATGTTAAATGTAAATAATAGATTGTGTGTTCATTTTTAAATCTGTATTTGTATCAAATTGTGATAAAACATGTGCAACTGAATATCCTGATGCATGCTCAATAATCCAGGTAGAAAAATCTAAAAAGTTAAATGTGGTCAAAAGGATGGCCCAGTACAGAAGAGCAACATCATCAGGCCAGGACTCTGTGGTCTACACTCATCTGCAGGCCAGCGGTCACTTTTGCAGGGATGATGTTCACATCCTTAAGAGGAACATTGGTGTGAGTGAAGGAAGCCATCTTTGTGAAGAGAACTCGTCCATCATTAAACAGTGGCGGGGTCTCCGTGTTCAACTTCCACCCTCTTACAATGCTTTTATTGCAAGCATCACGCATCCCCTTTGAATAACAGGCGGCCATCAGGGCGCTAATGATCCACTGTTAGGCTGATGGTCCTCCTTTTGCATGTGTACAACTGGTTCTGACTGTCAGCAGCCATCTGGTTGATCCACTATGAGAAGCTGTTGTTTATACTTGTTACAACATCTCAGACTGAAGAAGTCTTCAGGATGAAAGATGAAACGTTTCAACAAACAAGAATCCATCCAGAGGACCTGACTCAACCTTGTTAGATTTTTCTACCTGGATTATTGAGCATCAGGACATGATCATAACAGCTGTTACGGTTCCAACCCTGAGAGCAACGAGATGTTTTTCAGGCTTTTAAAGAACTGAAACAAGTTTAACAACAGGTTTTATGAAGTAAAATGTTTTCTTACCAGCCACTTTATTATGTCCACCTTGTTAGTACAGGGCTCAACTCTTCTCCCTGCAGAACTGCGTTAATTATTATAAACATTCCTCTGAGGTTTTGGATCATAATGACACTTTAGCATCACTCTGTCACTGCAGGTCCATGATGTGTCTCCTAAAGATGATCGATGAGACTGGAGGCAGCTGGAGTTCAGTGGTCTGACTCTCATCAGAGCAGGAAAATGTTTCCATCGTCTTATTTTCCTACTTTAACGAGTCTTCACAAACTGTAGCTTCAGTTTCCTGCTGGTAGCTGACAGGAGTGATGCCCGGTGTGGTCTTCTGCTGCTGCAGCCAAACTGTCTCCAGGTTGGACGTGTTGTGAGCTCACAGATGGTTTCTGCAGAACTTTGTATGTAACAAGTGGTTATTTGTGCTACAACAACAACAAAAGTTAAATCATGTCATCTGAACAAGTTTCTTTTTTGGGAGAAACGTTTTGTCTTTCATCTGTCTGAGGCCTGCCAACAAGACCTGTCTCTTAACTAGCTCTCATTGATGTGTTCCAAGACAGCCTCCTGAAGAAACTGGCTTTAACACGTGCAGAAAGGGGACCGTCCGTCCCAATCGATCATCATGCATAACAATATCCTGATGCATGCTCAATAATCCAGGTAAAAAAAAAAAATCTAAATCTGGTCCTCTGGACATTCAAAAATCAAAACAAAAAAAATGTAGAAATGTTTCGTCTTTCATCCGAAAGACTTCCTCAGTCTGAGGTGCTGTATTCAGCTCAGTCTGAGAAGGTGCTATTTATAAGACTGAGCTGAATACAGCACCTCAGACTGAGGAAGTCTTTCAAATTAAAGACAAAACGTTTCTACTTTTTTTTTGTTTTTTGAATGTCCAGAGGACCAGATTTAACTTTTCTGGACACACAATGTTTAAGGCCAAGTGTCCTCTGGCTGTTTATGTGAGTAGCAAGTTAGCCATTGATTGTTATCCATGATGATTGATTGTTTTGGATGGATGGTTCCCTTTTTGCATGTGTTAAAGCAAAGTTTCTTGGAATTTAACATGAGGCTGGTTTGAAACGCATCAGTGAGAGCTATTTGAGATGAGTCTTGTTGGCAGGCCTCAGACAGATGAAAAGACAAAACGTTTCTCCCAAAAAAAGAAACTTGCAGATGACACGATTTAACTTTTTTTGGTACTTATTTACCTGGATGATTGAGCTTCCAAACCTTTTTTTTTATTTGTGCTACTGTTGCCTTTCTGTCGTCTCCAACCAGTCTGCCCATTCTCCTCTGACAAAAACAAGGTTTTATTATTTACACTGAATATTTTCTCTTTTGGGACCGTTCTCTATGAACCAGAGATGGTTGTGTGTCAAAATCTCAGTAATCAGCAGTTTCTGAAACATTCAAACCGGCAACCACCTCACATTCAAAGTCACTTGAATCCCCTTTATTCTCCATCCTGATGCCCAGTTTGAACTTCAGGAAGTCGTCTCCACCTCTTCTACCTGCCTAGAGGCACTGAGTTCCTGCCACGAGATTGGATGATTAACTTTTTGTGTTAACATTTGGAAGGAATTTCACATATAAAGCCACTGAAATGTCCAGAATAGATGAAACCTGGTACATACAGAGCAGCCAGTGAGATACAGAACTTTTCATCAGATTTTGTCCCAAAGAACATTGCTTTGTGAAGAATACACCAGTGAAATGTTTAATTTCTTCTTTTAAAATGTCATAAAACCTTAAAATTTGAAACTTCTAATAAATGTGTTTGCTTGCACTCAGAGCCTTCAGGTGTGAAAACAAACCACCTGTGCATCAACACTAGTAGGGTGGAAAGCTTGTCACACATTTAATAACAAGGTTTTTAACTGCACTAAATAAACTGTGACAACCTTTAATTACTGAGCTTGGACATCATTTAAAATAAAAAAACAAAAGGGATTTATGTTTCCTTGTCAAGAGCCATCAATGAACATGTAAGATAAACTGAAAAGCAAGTTTTGTAGCTTTTGCAAAGTTTTTAGACTTTCTACATTAAAATCCTGCTATATACACACAGTACTTGCATATATATTAATTATTGCATATATTATTGCATATTGCAAATATTGCATATATATTAATCTCTATAAATCTCAAGATATTTTTTAGAATAATCTCACTCTCATTTTGCAAAATAAATATTTTTAATGTACTGTTAATATAAAAAAAGTTTTGACACATTTTCAAAAAAGGCGTTTTCTAACAAAAGTGTTCTCCTCGCAATTAAAGTATTCCTAGTAACCAACAAAGTCCAGGCTCAATAATCCAGGTATACAATCCAACAATTTTCAGTCAGGTCATCTGGACAGTTTCTTTTTTTGTACTGAAACGTTTCACCTTCCATCCAGAAGACTTCTAGTAAACATGAACAACATCTTACCAAATATTAAACCAAAGCTATTTGCCAGGGCAATTTTTGTTGATTTTAAAGAAAAATGAAGATAACTTCAAACCCAAAACCACAATCACAGCAGGTTAACGACTAATTCTAGAATATACATTTTTCTAAAAAGTTACAAGAAGAAATATTTTTAAATCAAGGAGCGTCGAGAACATTTTTATTCAGTAAGCGTTCCTCTTGAAGACAACAATTGACTGTGCAGTAGGGATGTGCAATATGGCATAAAATTAACATCATGATATGTATTGTGAAGGGTGGCGATAACGATATATATCACGATATGTTTTTGGTATAAAACTTGCAATAAAAATGACAAAAAAAACACATAGGGTGTCCTTTTGCCATCATTTATTTTGAAAACAACATTCTTTTCACAGATCAGAGAGCAGGTTTCTCTAAAGCTGACCAACGCTTACTTTAACTTTCGACAGAAAAAAACAAAAACCTGTTGATGGAACATAGCGTTTAGCGCATGCGTCCGAATACGGTAACACTATGGCAAGCTTGCCGTAGTTAGCTTGTAGCTTCGCTACTTAGCTCTCAAAGAAAAGATTTTAACACTACTTATGCTCAGTTTTCAACTCAAAAAAAGTAACGATTACCTCTGACAACTCTGATTTTACATCAGACACAGCATTACTGCAGTTAGCCGGTAGAAGACAGATCTCTATCATAGGCTAAATGTCTATCGTTTCTACCGTGTACCGTATAGATCGTGCATTCCTACTGTGCAGGAGATTCTAGTCTTCATACTACCCGTTTGCTCAGGATTTTTTTTTCAAAATCTCAGTAAAAAGAAGAAAAAACTTTTAGTGATGCAAGCCGAGAAATGACACTATATAACAAATTGTACATTCCTTCAACTGTACACTTCCTACTCTGCACCAAGCCAGTCGCTGAGACACACAAGGTCATTTACATTTTCTGATGACAGAGAAACTCTCCTCTTCTGTACAACATGACCAGCAAGAGAAAACAACCTTTCACAAGGTACAGAAGTTGCAGGTGTGGACAAGTACTTCTGTGCAACAGAGGCCAGCATGCTGTGAGCCCCTGCATGTCTGGACCACCACTCCAAAGGACAGGCCTCTGTACTGATAGTGGGCTCTAATTGGTATCGGCACACACTGTTCTCAAACAAGTCTTCCTCCTCATCACAGTCAGACTCTGGTGAAGCAGCCAGCAAGGCACACTTTTTCCTTGGTGGCTCTGATGATGTTGCTTCCTCAGATTTCACTAAAACACCCTGCCTTTCTCTAAGTAGACTAGTGAGTGAGGCCCACACCTCCCCCCTCTCAGGTCTGGGTATGCACTTAAGATCTTTGAATCTTGGGTCTAATGCAGTAGCAATCTTGAGGTATGCAATGTTGGCATTTTGCTTGCGTGCCTCCAGGTCTGCTCTAAATGTAGTCTTGAACTTGACCAGGTAGGCAGGATCATCTTCAGAGCTCTTCATGAGACGAGAGAGATGGCAAAAAGCAGGCAGGACAGCAGAGCATGAGACATACTTTTGTCCTCCCAGAATTTCACTCACATACCTGCAACAACAAAAAGTCAAACCTTCAGTCAAACTGTATTGCATCCGAATATTAAGAAAACTATCCTTCACACGTTTATGATACTTTTACACACATACACTTGTCTTTGCTACAAACAGGAACATGAAACAAACAAAAAAAAAAAAGTAAACTATACCTGCAGGGCTCCAGGAGCGTTTCCAACCTCTGTAGTTTGTCCATTTCAGCTGCAGTTGGCATGGCAATCTCGGTCCTGTGTGGGGCAAGGACGTGTCTCAGTGGCTGTTCATTTCTGAGGACACTTTTGATCATGTCCAGGGTTGAATTCCATCTGGTTGGAACATCTTGTACGAGTGACTCTTTCATTTGTCCATGTTCAGTTTGTCGTCGTCGTAATTCTGCAGCATTTGTTGGACTGTGTTTGAAATGGTCCACAACCTTTCTACATTTGTCTAGGACATTGGCGAACACACTGTCCTGCAGAGACACTGTGATTGAACGCTGGAGACTGTGTGCAACGCAGGGGACATGTTCAAAAGGCAGATGTGTTGCAACAGCCATCATGTTTCTTGCACTATCTGTGCCAAGTGTGCTGACTTTATGAGAGATATTCCACTGCTGAGCGACATTAAAAAAATCTTCCGCGTACGTTTCAGCAAAATGTCTCTCTCCTGTGATCATTACGGTCAGGGCATGAGACTGCAGCCTCCACTGTGCATCAATATAATGCACAGTAACTCCGAGGTAGTTGTGATTACCCACAGATGTCCAGTAGTCTCCAGTGACAGCAACAGTTGGTGCACGTTGTAATGCTGTCGCTTTTATAGCTCTCTCTTTTTCATACAACTCGTGAATACTCTTTGTGATGGCGTGCCGTGAGGGAAGCTCATACTTACTGTCTTTTGTTGCGGTTTTAAGGACGTCACACAGACCAGCATCTTCCACAATGCTAATAGGCCTGCAACTTGTAGCTATCCACCTTGATATAGCATTTGTTAGTTCGTCTTGCTTTTGTTCGTCAATTGTTCTGCCACACGCTGAATTCAACCTCACGGTTAGCCTTCCTTCACTCTTTATTACGGTGGATGGTCGGCTAGCATCGATGGCGTGTTTTGATTTTAGGTGATATTTCAAGCTAGAATTACTCCTGTGATAAGACATTTCAGCGCTGCAGTACTTACAGATAACTTTACTTTTATCCAGCTTGCCGTCGGGGGAGGTTTTAAAAATAAAATGCCCATGTAAAACTCCAGTACTTATCTCCATATTTCTTTCCTTACTACTCTTTTTTACCGCGCTCTTCTTCTTCGGCGCCTGCGTCTTCTTCTTCTTGAGTTTATTGGCGGTTTCCAAAAAGTGGTGCACTACCGCCACCTACTGGTTTGGAGTGTGATTCATCACGGTATGAGCACGAAAAAACTATATAATCAAATTCTATCAATTATGTTTTCTTAAAATATCTAATTATAATTTGTATATGTTTGCTCCCTAAGTTATGTTGCAGTGCATCTGTTATGTTAAACTTTTATTTTTAGCTTTTCAAACTCTCTACTCATAGATCTTCGTTCTTGCTCATATTTCTAACGGTTGTATAGTTTCATCTTCTCTGCAGTGCTCACTTTTTTCCTGTATTATGCTTCTGTATTTATAATTTTAAGTATTGCAGGGCTATTGAACTGGTGGCCCAGGGGCCAAATCAGGCCCACAGATGAACTGAGTTCGGCCCACCAATGGATTCATTTTACTTTGTAAATAAAACTAGATTTTGAACCATAAAACAAACTTACTTAATGACAATGACTGCTGGATGTCTGGCTCCTGAGCTCTTTTCTTTCAGTAACTGTGGCCCCCTGATCAATTTAGTTGATTAGCCCTGGTGTATACCATATTTTCCACCGTACACGTCGCTCCACCCTATAAGTCGCATCAGTCCAAACATGTCTAATAAAATAGAAAAACACAAATACTTCACTTTGCCGTATATGTCGCATCTATTATGCGTCACCGCTGACAACCAGGAAATGTGGGCTGGTGTGCAAAAAATCGATTGGCTGCCAAATGGCAGCTGCTGGGGCGTGCACAGGTAGACTTTAACAAGAATTTAACTAGATTAACACTTAAAAACAATTTGTTTGCTTGAAATTATAGTAAAGGTGTGTCTCAGTTTAACTTTTGCTTAATAAATGCACTTTAACGGTCAAATTTTATGCATTTTGCTGGGGTGGCGCAGGCTCGCAGCGAAATGAAGCTGGTTGCTCCAAGCGAGCTGGACGAAGGTGGCCGCCTAAGGCAAGCTGACTGTGTCATTAAGACATGACATGCTGTATTTCTTTGGCGCCATCTAGCAGCTGAAAATGGTAGTGTTCAATATTTTGAGTCAGAATGAATGAAAACAGTCATATCTCAGCTAAAAATTGGTTTATAAATATGAGAAAAAAAATCCATAAATACGTCACTTCGGCCAATAAGTCGTGGGGCATGCAAAGAAACACTACTTATTGGGTGAAAAATACGGTAGTTAAGTCCAGTATGTCGTCCTCGCTGCTCAGTTTGATAGGGTGAGTGCTGTGCGGCAGCCATACAAAATAAAGGCTCTTATTGGTTGAGCTGCGCGATGATGCCCATCCATAGCCAGCAGATCAACATCCTGTCCCCCAGGACCAATGGGTTTTTCTGTTCACTGAGTAACAAACTTAAAAATTAAGAAAAACTGTGTTAACACGTTAAAGAGATTGTTGCTGTTAAGCAATGGCTGTGCCAACACTTCTTTTATTACACACATACATATGTATATATATATATATATACACATACATATGTATATATATATATATATATATATATACATATATATATATTATATTAAAAATTTGAAGCAGTTTGACATTGATGTGGTCAGAAATAACTTGTCAACTATTCAAAATGTGTCGATGAGACAAACTGTTATATTTGCTTCTTTTGCAAGTGCTCCTTTCATAACACCTTCATTGAACACTTCTTAAAATTCATTAAACTTTCCTAAACTGTTTCCGACATCTTAGAGGTGAAACAGGTTTCTCTAATCTCAATATACACATGAACACTAGTAAAAGTTTAACTGATTAAAAAAAATTTTTAGTCCCATCGCTTGGAAATAAACATCAAAACAGCACCTCTGGTACATCATTTACATTTAGTTCTGCCAATTATTTCCTCTTCCTATATTTATCAAAAACCTTTAGTGTGATCATCTGATTGTTTTGTGTGTTATTCTTCCATTAACATAACTAGATTTTAACATCTTGATAAAAATGAAAACTATTTAAAATGTGTTGGAAAACAAATTATTTTTTTATTAACACATTTATGTTTTACATAAAGTAAAAACAAAATGAATCCCCGTCTTTTGTTCCAGCCCTATCAAACCCACCCTCATCCCGACCATCATAGTCTAGGAAACAAAAAAAAAAAGAGCACAACGACAGACGAACACTTTTCTTTGACGAGCCGGTGGACACACGCTGTACCTTGGGTAGGACCAGAGAGATTTGAAACAGTCTGTGATTAAAAATGAAAATATAAAAAAGTAAATGAGCATCGCTGATAGTTTTATCAACCAGAAACATGAGAAGAACCAGCACATCAACGTAGTGCTTTTTACATCCTACGTTAGGACTTTAGGAACGTCGGGCATTGACAGATGAACATGATATGACTATCAATCAACCCCGCTGAAATTTTCAGGCAGAATGCTTTCAGCTAAAGACGGCGCAACGTGTCACTTTTAAAGTTGCCTACAATGAACAATGCCTGAGGTAAGTCACAGACACCCCCTCGTGATTGTGTGCTTTATTTTCTATTTGGCTGATAAGACAGTCAGAGGGGATCCAGGCAGCCGCCAGGGACATGGCAACACTACTCAAGAGAACTGAACACATCACTTTGCTCAACCTGGAATAACCGTTTGTTCAAGCGAGAGCAGTACGGTGTGGACAAAGACAGGAGTCAAAATTACACATCTCTGCTGCAAAATTCACTGAGCAAACTGCAAAACAAAAGGCAAAATTAAAAAAATAACAAAAGTGGATTCTTTGTGTCTGAGGTGTGTCACAGGATTGGCGTGTTTTTGCTTTTAGAAGAGAAGTGCTCCCATACTGCCGACTTCACTTTGCTCTTTCACAAAGATCTCAAAGTACTGGTAAATGATGGTTACGGCCAAGAGGATTCCTGTACCCGATCCGATGGCTCCCAGGAAGTCTGCCATGACAGACAAGCCTCCTATACAGAGCCCTCCGAAAGCAGCAGCTGTGGGGATGTACCTGCAGAGAAAACAGAGCGTGTTCCAGAAAACGGCTTCTTGGAAGCTGCAAAATAAAATGTGAAACTAACTCCACATTAGATTTTTACCTGTTAAGTTCATGCACCATGGAGGTCTCCCTGTGTCCTCTCATCACCATCTGCTGTTCCTTCAGCTGCTTCGCCACCTGGGATGAGCAACACGACAAACACATTTTGAATATTGGACTGTTGAAGGCCAAGCTGCGTACAGCCGAACACACACACTTACGTCTTTGGCTGAGGATCCTGAGACCTCGATCCAGGTCTTGGAGAAGAAGGCACAGGAGCCAAGCATGAAGAAGATGTAGATGACAGCATGAACTGGGTCATCTAAGACAGAACCGAACGACTCCGGAGGAGAAAGGTAGTAGCAGAGACCGCCTACTGGGTAGGCCCGAGCTGGTCCTCCGCTCGATGTGTCCTGAACACAAACACGCTGGAGGTGAGGAAAACTCGGACACGTACGGAGGATACTGTGCACCGAATTACAGCCTAACCATGTTAGTTATTTTGCAAAGGCCTGTCACACTAACACATTTTGCTGGGCGATTAATAGTCTCAGAAATTATTGCGATAAACGATAATATTGTTTGAAATTTGACAATAATTAGTAATTATTGTCAAATTTAAGAATAAATGATGCTTTAATTGTCTTGGGTGCAGTACCTTTTTTCGACCACCATATGGCAGTATAAAACAGTTTGAACCGAAGGATGGATAGTGAGGGAGCAAGCTGCGTGTCTATTTAAGAAAAATGGGAGGGAGGACCCTTGACGTGACATGAGCCGTCTCTCCTTCCTTTTTTCTGGATCTCAAAATGGCAGACACTCGGAATGTTTTGAGCTCTTTCGCATAGCATTTTTCACAAAGCTTTTGATAAATAAATCAATCAGAAAACAAGTTCTCAGCTTCTTTTTACAGAGAAAAACTACTTTTTAGACAAAGGCACAAGTTTCAACCGTGAATGTTGTCGCTTCGACAAGACGGAGGTTTTTCCCCAAGGTCAGCCTGTTAGCTTAGCTAGTAGCTTAGCTGCTTAGCTGCTTTTAACGATCCAAAAACACGATTTTGGAGTTAAAATAGTTTTTAAAGAGAAAAGAGAACATGAGGAGTCAGTGAAGAGCACCAGAGTTGAGCCTTTTGTCATCCAGTGTCTTCAGTAGAAAGAGAGAGACATGAAGAAACGATAAAGCCGAAAAATGAAAATGAGGTCTATAATTTTCATTTATCATGCGATTAATTGATTTATTGTTTATCATGACAGGCCTAGGCTGAAGTTAGATACAGAAATGAAGAGTCTATAATCTACTTACAGACCAGGTTCCCAGGAGGTTGACCAGGAAGTTGCCACTGAAACGTGTTGACAACATTTGGGAAATGACGTACAGATTGGAAACTAATGCAGACTGCAGGATGATGGGGATGTTGGAGGTGTAGAACAGTTTGATGGGGTACGTGTTGTATTGACCACGGTAGCGAGCCGACTTGATGGGCAGGTCCACTCTGAAGCCCTGATAAAGAGACTCAAGCTGAGTACAAAACTTCTAGACCAATAAAAACTGCTGAGACATAATTCTCAGATTGCGACGACACCTCACCTGGAAGTATATGACCACTGCAAACACAAAGATGGTGGCAATGAGGTTCATGAGGTTGGGCAGGTTTTGCCTGTAGAAAGCCTCTCTCAGGGCGCGCACCTTGTCTGTACGAGTGGCCAGCAGATGGAAGAGAGCGATGATGGCTCCCTCAAACTCAGTACCTGGATAAACCACATGAATCGCTGGGTTAGTCACGGTGCACAGGTGAGATGTACCATCAGTTTCATTTCTGAGCTGGGCCTATACCTCTGCCAGTGTTGACAGTGGTGGGACTGAAGGCCTTCCAGACAATGGTCTCGCAGATATTTGTTGCAATGAAGAGAGAAATACCAGAACCCAGACCATAGCCCTTCTGGAGCAGCTCATCCAGCAGTAAGACTATCAGACCTGCAACAAAGAGCTGAAACACAAACAGCTTGTTTTCAGACATGTCAAGTAAACTAACTGCTGTAAAAAAAACAATATGTTATCGCTCTTCATTTGGGCAGACAAAAGTATATTTTATGGCAAAAATATTTGTTTTATTATTTGTATTTTAAGACAATGCGGACTCACCTGAATGATAATAAGCAGGCATATACCAGCACCCATCTCTGAAGGATCTCCATACATGCCAGTCATAACATACACTATGGCCTGTCCAATGGTGATGATCATTCCAAACACTGCAAAAAGGAGAGGCAAAAACATTTAAAATGCAGTGACAGCAATAAAACTCTATGACTTTATAAGCTTTAAAGTATTGAATTAAAAGGTTTTGAAATCTAAGAAACAAGATATAGAAAAGGCAAACCTACATTTCTGAGCTCCGTTGAAGAGAGCTCTGTCCTTGGGAGTATCTCCCACCTCGATGATCTTTGCACCAGCCAGAAGCTGCATAATGAGTCCTGAGGTGACAATGGGTGAGATACCAAGCTCCATCAGAGTACCTGGATGTAAAAAAAAAAGGGCAACAAAAGTTCAAGATTTATATTTTTCATTTCTATAAAAAAATACATTGAACAAAGATGTTTTTTTTCTTCCATATAGGTGGAAAAAAAAACCAGTAAGAGTCAAAAATGTGAAGGAGGCTAACAACTCTTGACCTTTGGCTTAAGGCATGTGGTAACAAGATAAAGCTACCCTCTGTCCAACAAAAGCTCTACAATGATCCGGATGGGAGAGGAAACATTTCTCACTTAAAGAAACTGGTCCAGATAACATGATTTAACCCTTTTTGTTGTCATCTACCTGAATGATTGAGCTTACAAACCTTTCTCTACATTGAACGTTACAATAAATATGATACAAGCGCACACCTCTGTTAGAAGCCAGGATAACTCTCATCCAGTAGAAAGGATCTGCTGAATCTGACGACATGATGCCAAAGAGTGGGATCTAAACAAGAACAAGAAACGTAAAGTACTCTGCAAACAAGCGCCGTTACCTAAAGCAGCACTGACAAGCTGGCTGAGGGTCATCAATAGTGTCATTACCTGGCAGCACACCAGAAAGATGAATAGCGTGATAGCGGTCCATAGTACTTTTTCTCTAAATTGAATCTGAACAGTAAGAAATAGAAGTAGGCGTCATTCATTTTCAAGTCATGCATGCAGAACTCAACACAAACAGAAGAGAAGCAGGCTTGAGCTTACCTTTCTTTCTGGTTTCTGAATCTCTGGCAGGACTGCACAGAAAGGCTTGATGACTTCCAAAAACTTAACTATGAAAAGAAATAAAACACCATTTAATTTTAATTACTGTAAATGTAAAGACAAGCAGCTTCTTACTGAGATTCAGCTGCACCTCTACGACCAGGTGAGCCCAGATGCAACGTCATCCCTAACAGCAGCCACTTAAAACAGCTGTCAGGCAACATGCAAATAATCAATTCAACACACAAACAACAAATATTAATGCGAGTGTGTTCAGAGTCGCTGGTGTTTACGGTTTTGGACAGATTTCTGAGGTGAATCCGAGTGTTGATCAGCTCTGTATCAATCACTGAAACAGACTTTAGAATCTGGCAGGCTTCAAACTGAATTAAAATTATATAAATAGGCTCCAGAAGGTCCAGTTTCAAACCTGCCAAAGTTAACAGGTGAAGAAAAAGCTAATCCATTTACATGTTAAACATTAAAACGTTAGCTAAGACGCTAGCTGTAGCGTTCAGTCTCAAACCGCACGAACTAATGTTTAAAACAAGAGCTGACACACATTCATATTTCATAAATCTCATCTCAGCTGTGACACATGTATGTTCATTAAAACACCATTGGTGCTTTTGGGTTGTTTTCACTAGGAGCTAGCTAAACTTCTCGCCACCTAACCTGTGTTAGCTTCCCTGCACACCGGCGCGGAGCTCATTATTCCTCTGGTTTAAAAACAAAGCAGGTGTGTTAGCCAACACTCCAACTCGTGGATGAAAAGGAAACGAGCATACTTACTCCCCATGGTGTCTTCAGGTCGACTCCTGACGTCTAGCTGCTACGACTTCTGCTCCGTGGAGTCAATGTGGCTCCATCAGCCACTCCGAGAGGAAAGAGACCGAGTCGGAGAGACACGTCACCAGACCAGCCGCAGACACACGTCACTTCTCCGGGGGAAAAACACGCCACGTTCCGCTGTCTGCCGGCAGTCCCGCACACCTGTGTCAAGCTACAACTTCTTTAAAGCGCTAAACGAATAATTACAGGTAAAATAATCAAAATAAGAAACATAATTATGTACGGTAATATATTAAATAAAACAGTGAGAAACGTTAAACATTTTCTTCCGCCAGAGGGCGCTGTAGTCCTTCAGTCAGTAGTGACAGTAAACCGACGAAGAAGAAGATTTTGATTTTTAACAAAACTTTATTTAACAACCGTGTTAAAAAAGTGATCAGGACAAATTTAAAATAAAAGAAGAAAAAGAAGAGATAGATGGATGGATGAAGGATAAATAGACAGACATGATAGATAGATAGACAGACATGATAGATAGATAGATAGATAGATAGATAGATAGATAGATAGATAGAT